CAGTCCGGAATGCAGGGGAGGGCAAACAGCAAATCCACCTACCCTTGCCGCTGGTCTCCGGGCTACTCCGTTGGTCTCAGCCTCCAGTTCTCCTCCACAGCCTCCTTCCGTGGATTCTCCCAGGGTCTCAGGTCCCCTCCCTCCGGCCCTCGTCCGCTGTATGCTGGTCTTCTTGCTTCTTTCCTCTAATTTCTGCTAGAGTCTGTCTTTTCTGCAGAGACCTCTGTCTAGCGGTGTTATTCGTCCGCCATCTTGCTCCGCCCCTGGTCTTTGTTTTTGCTCCTGTTTATGTGGTGAATTGCATTTATAGATTTACATATGTTGAACCATCCCTGCATTCCTGGGATGAAGCCCACTTGGTCGTGATGGATTATTTTTTTGATAAGCGTCTGGATTTGGTTAGCTAAGATTTTGTTGAAAAATTTTGCATCTATATTCATTAGGGATATTGGTCTGTAGTTTTCTTTTTTTGTTGCATCCTTTCCTGGTTTTGGTATCAGAGTAATGTTCGCTTCATAAAAGGTGTCGGGGAGGTTTCTGTTCTTCATGATATTGTGGAATAGTTTCTGCAATATAGGTACTAGTTATTCTTTGTAAGTGTGGTAAAATTTGGGTGTGAAACCATCTGGACCGGGACTGTTCTTTTTAGGGAGATTTTTAACTGCTGTTTCTATTTCAGCTGTTGAGATTGGTCTGTTCAGGGAATCTATTTCTTCCTGGTTGAGTCTAGGAAAGCTGTGTGTTTCTAGAAATTTGTCCATTTCCTCTACATTTTCCAGTTTGTGTGCATAAAGATTTTTGTCGTATTCATAAATTATATCTGGTATCTCTTTGAGATCAGTTGTGATGTCTCCCTTTTTGTTCCTGATGGAGCATATTAGAGATTTCTCTTTTCTGCTTTCCGTTAACTTAGCCAATGAGTGTCCATTTTGTTTATTTTCTCAAAGAACCAATTTTTTGTTTTATTAATCTCCTGAATAGCTTCCCTGTTTTCAATTTCATTTAGTTCTGATTTGATCTTGTTGATTTCACTTCTTGTGCTGGGTTTGGGGTTGGTCTATTCTTCTTTTTCCAGCTGTTTGAGTCGTTTCATTAGATTGTCTATTTGTGATCTTTTTAACTTTTGGCTATAGGCATTTATGGAGATAAACTTTCATCTCAGAACTGCTTTAGCTGTGTCCCAGAGGATTTGATAACATATCTCTCCATTGTCATTTTGTTCATAGAATTTTTTTATTTTCATGTTGATTTCTTCATTTATGAAGTGATCATTTAGTAGGAGGTTGTTCTCTGGTTTCTTTCTATGTCAATCAGTTGTTGTTTCTTTCCTTTAGGTTTTCGTTATGGTAATCACAAGCCTTGTTTAGTTTCTGAGCCAGTAGGTGCTGTCTGTGGGTGAGATTTGACCACTCCCTGTATAATGAGTCTGTAGGTGCGGTTAAAAGGATGTTCAGGATGTCCTCCCTGTTAGTAGGTGGCGCTTGCTTGGAGGAACAGGCTGCACTGTTGTTTTTGTGTCCTTGTTCCTGTAGAGAGGCACTCTAGTGACTCAGGTGTTCGGTGGGGCCCTGGGACTTCCAGGTGTGTCCTTTTCTCCCCCTTGGTGAGGGCTGGCCTAGGAGAGAGTCTGAGCGGAGCTGGGTTGGGTAAGCCTGCCCTCAGTCACCACCAATTGCATTAGCAGGGGTCAAAGTTCTGTTCTTTGCTTCCAGGAAAAGCTGTCAGGGAGGGGCTTTAATGGATCCACTCAGTCAGAAAGTCTATGTGTGGGGTGGGGCTGTCTGAGACCCGCAGTCTGGAGCAAGCCTTGCTTCTTTCCACCCTCCCCAACTCCGCAGCTACTCCTGGGCCTCTGCCAGCAGGCCAGACCACACGCTCCCAGGCATCCGCTGACTGTGATGCTGGCAGGGAGGTGTCTTGCGCAGGATCGCCACCTGGGCTGGGTGTACGGCCTTCCATTGGGTGGAGGGTTGCCCTCTAGGACGGTGATCTGCCCCCGAAGGCACACACACCTCAGTAGGCTGTTCACATATGTCCCTTCTGTGCCCCAGGCAATGCGAGACCTCGGTGCACAGGATCTGTCTGCAGGTCTGATTTCTGGGCCCCAGAGTTCAAACTGTATCCCCACTAGGGAGAGGAGTGTCAGTCCCAATTCACCCTTGGGAGCCTAAGCTGGGTCTATGTCTCTCAGCCTCAGGGTCTGCCCGGTTCTCCGGGGATCACTGTGCCAGCAGCACCTGGGAGGGCTGGCGGGTAGGGAGCTCACAGTCTGAGTTCCCCTTAGCCAGCTGTAGGGCCCCAAAATGGTAGGTCCCATTGCCTGGAGGTGCCTCCGGCTGGTGGCTATATTATCTCTCTGGGCAGCTGTGGGTAGGGTCGGGGGAGGGGAGAATGAAGCAATATGGTGCCTGCAGCACGGCTCGGGTCTGTGCACATGGAGGTTCCCCGAGGGATTTGGGAGCCTGGTGCCGCGTCCGCTACTGGCTTACTGCTCACTGGCGGCGGTCGTCTCTGGGCTGGTGTCCACAGATCTCTCCACCCTCTGGGGAGCCCACCAGCAGTCTCAGATGCAGGAGAGGGGAAAGTTGATCGAACAACCTACCCTTCCCGCTGGGCTCTGGGCTGCTCCGTTGGTCTCAGCTTCCAGTTCTCCTCCGCAACCTCCTCCCCTGGAGTCTCCTGTGTTCTCAGATACCCCTCCTTCCGACCCTTGTCCTCTGTATGCTCATCTTCTTGCTTCTTTCTTCTAATTTCTGCTAGAATCTGTCTTTTCTGCAGAGACACTCAGTCTGGCGGTGTTTCTCGTCCTCCATCTTGATTCCAACCCCCGGCATGAAGGTCTTTAATGACTTCATGTGACCAAGTCTAACAGCTACTTCTCTGTCCTTGTCTTATTCAACCCTACCCCTCAACCAGCATGTGTTCATTAAGCATCTACTATGTTCCAGGTGCTGTTTAGGTGCTATCAATATAACAATAATTAAAAGAAAGAAAACCCCATGTGCTTGTGGGATGTACATTCTAATGGGGGAACACAATAAACAAAAAAGGTGACAAGTGCTATAAAGAAAATTATAGCAGAGAAGAAAAGAGTAGGTTTCCATTTTAAATAGGCTGGTCAAGGAGAACTCTTTATTGAAAAGGTGACTCAGTCTTCAGTAGAAATCTGAGAAAGGGGAAGTAGCAAGCCAAGTGGAAGAGCATTCCAGGGAGAGGGAATGGTCAGTGCAAAAGTCTTGAAGTAAGAGTGTGCTGTGATACTGGATAACATTACCTAGGCATAAGTAGAGACAGGAGCACAAGTCAAAGGACTGAGCACAAGGGTGATCTATCATTAACGGGGCAGGGAGATGAGAGAGAACCTGCAAAGGAGGTAGAAAAGTAATGGCCAACAATGGAAGACGAATGCTTCTTGAAACACTCTTCCTTTTTAGATTTGGAAACACTATATTCACTTAGTTTTTCTTCTGCCTCATACTTCTTTTCCGTCACCTTTGTTGACTTCTCTATATAACCTCTATAATAATATACTGTGTTTACCAGTTAATCCTCAGAAGAGGATTAGAGTATGATATGATATTGGATTTGCATGTATGCTAGAAGTAAGAGTAAACCAAAGCCCAGAGAAAATAAGGTAGAAGGAGTAGAGATACTTGATGGGAAAGGATGGGTGGTCAAGGTCCAAGTCCCAAAAGGGATATGGCAGATTCCAGGTTAGGCATCAGTAACCAAAGGGCATCTATCAGCATAACAGGGCTTGAGGTAAAAAGTAGTGAAAACTATGAAGGGCCATATAAAGAGGCTGGTTATTTCACAGATTCTTTCTAAATAAGGGTGAACAGAATAGAGCTTATTTATCAGGGAGTGAAGCTGACAGGAATCAGGTACAAAGTAGACCCCAGCACTGGCTTGACTACAGAGTGGGAACCCCATTCCTCAGGCATGAATAAACTGTGGATCCAGGTGGACTGAAGGACCCACATTGATTGAAGGGCTATGGTGTAGGCGGCCCTCTACAACATTCTTACTGATAGAGAAGGATGAACAAGAATACCAAGAATGTAGCCCTGCAGCATATCATCAGAAACCTCCTAGCAGGTCAACACATTAGTCATTAGGCTTGGGTTATGAGTCATTTGATCAGTTAATAATTTACCCAGTTGTCCTAAAGTAAGCCCATATTTCCTTAACTTGTGAGGGAAAAGATCAAGATAGAGAAGCAGTAGGCTTGGTAAACCATGCCAAGGAGTTTACATACTATTTATAGCCAGTGAAGATCCACATAATGGCTTTAAACAGGGGATGGTGATGGTCAGAGTCTTATATTAATGGGTCTGTGCAACTTCCTTATATTTTTCTTCATTAAACTCCCTTCTTTCATCTTCTGAGCATATTTTAAAATCTGAGCTCATCAGGTCATTGGAAAAATGATATAAACTAGAGAGATGTCAAATGCCTTTCTAGCTCCATTTATCGCCTTGACTAGATGTACCTACCCTTTCCTCACTACTTTCACCTAGAAAATTCCTATGTGTCTTTCACATTTAACCTTTAAATGATCACATCAAATCACATTCTTGTACTAAAGTTATTTCATCAAAAATACATATATGCTAGTATATATTTAACATGTTCCATGTCCACCTACAAACTTCTCTTGTCTTTCCCATGAATATTATTGGCCTTGAGATGTTGGAGTTCTGTTTCTTGTAAAGAGTCTTTTGTAGGTCTCATCCCTGCTCTTCAAGAACTATTCTTTAGGTCTTCCCTACCCCCTCCCACCCCCACACACTTTGTTACACTTTATAACTAGCAGCTCCTCACAGATCTATTTTTCTGTTTTTCTTTGTATTTGGCATTTAGCATTCCTTTCAGTTGACATTCATTCATAATCTTTATTCTAGAGGGCTACATGTTCTCCTGGTACTACTGTATTAGGAGAGCAATTAAATACTAATTAAGTTTTTCATTTTTGTTTTCTTTTCTATTCAAATTTATAGGTTCCAACTCCACTGGGAGGTCCTTCTCTATTGGCACCTCAACCCATGATTTATAACCAACAAGGCTTAAACACCAATAATCCTCCCACTCCATCCCCAGGACATCAGGTATGTTTGAGCTGTTGTTGCTTAGAACCTTGGTAGGGATGAGCAGTCACTGTTAGAATGGAGTTTTACTACATATCTATCTTCTGTGCACTGTTGGTCTCTCATAGAAAAAAAACTAATTCTAACAATTTCAGCATCACAAAGAGAGACCACATTATGCAGACCTGGTACAGACCTCTACAAATCTGTGTTTTTAAACCTCAACTGGGTTCTTATATGTATTCATCAATCCTTTTAGTCATTTATTTATTTATTCAATCAACAAACTGAAGTGTAATTAGTACTGGAGAGGCAACTAACTCAGCCTGGAGGTTTTAAGGATGAGTTCCCAAAAAACTGATACCTACATTGAATGGTAAGATTAAAAAATAAACAGCCAGTCAATGGAATAGGGAAACAAATACACAATTAGACAAACAAATACACAATTAGAGAGGGAAGCACAAAGTACCATGGGAACTCAAAGGAGAGAACAGTTAATTCAACAATGGAAGAAGGTTTCAAGACACTTAGTATTGAACGATAAGGAGGATTTCAACTACAGGATTTGGCATTACAGGCAGAGAGAATAAGTTGAGCAAAGAAGCAGAAGCAGATAATGGTAATATGGATGAGTGTAGCTGAAGCATATGGGAGAGTGTCATGATCCTAGTGTCCATTGCATCAGAGTATTGTTTTCTAGAAGGCTTTATAAAGTTTCTACCTCCAGTCTTCTGATGTGTTGGGCCTCCTGATCCCTGAATATCTGTTTTAGGATTCCTGACAAAACTTCAGGTACTAGATAATGAGAAAAATGACCAGAGTTTTGTATGAAAATATTTTTAATTATTTTATAGCAACAAAGAAAAATATGTAGAAATGATTAAAGATTTACATATTTATCTTTCTTTCACTCAGACGCAGTCAATGTAAAGGTACTAAAGCAAAAAGATTCTGATTCAGAAGTGAAAAAACTGATCTTTCTACAGGCTGAACTGAATTATCCGCATCTTCCACGTAAAATAAACATTCACTTGGACATTCAATACTCTTGAGATTCTTCAATTCAATGTTTTAGAGCTTATGTACTCTATTTTTCTTATTTTAATAGTTAATAATTCACCTAACCTTCCCCCAGTCTTCCAATCCTGCCCCTTCCCTAACAGGTTTTTAAAGGCACATGTGTCATTCAGACCCAACTAATTATTCTTTGGGCTGTTTTCTGACATCTAACCACCATATGTGTCAGTTCTGGGCCCTCTGATCACCCTTAGGAACCTGCTCAGGGAGGAGGAGGGGCTGGAGGACTGAGGAAGTACAGTGGGTGGGGAATTCAAGGAGCACCCTCAGTAGCAACATAGCAGGCCCTGCCTCACACCATGTGTTCTCCAGTTGTTTGGCCCCTGTAGGAGCTGCTTCAGATCTGGTTATGACTCTCATCTAATCTGGAGCCAGACCCCTAGGTAAAAAGCTCAGGGCTTCATCCCCTGGAGGCTGCCAGTGAGTGATAATTTACTTCCTTCCTATCCTCATTGAGAAGCTAGTAGCATCATTTTGCTGACTTGGTATTTCCTGGTTGGACCTTCCAGACTCTCAGCATGTAATTGCTATAACTACTCTCTAAGAAACAGGAAGCAGAGGGCAATGGTTGCTCATGACTCTGTGTTGGGCGTAGAGTGTGGTTCCTGAGTAACATAAGCTCACTTTGGCCTAGAGATTTCATCATACACCTGGTCTCTGCTGGCTTGGTTTTTCTTGAAAGTATAGTGTGTTCATATGCTATTATCTTTGAGATATCATCTGTGTCACAAATAAACACAGACCACTATATGTGAACAGTGATGAATTTTGTAGAAATTAGCAATTCAGAACCCTTTTTAGGAAGAGGAAATGGAGGCCCTAAGAGGTTAGATGATTACCAAGGTTCCTTGGCTCCAAATCCAGAACTTTTTCTAATATACCATGCTATAGTGACACATCCCTACCTCCTATCATGTCCCCATCCAAAGCAGATTGGCTATGACCTTGTCTAGATTGAAGACTGGTGCTGTTGCCACATCTCAGCCTGGTGCCCACATCTAGGGGCTTCATCCTTCTATAGTTGAATGCTTGGGTCTTGGACTGTCTTTCCCTTTTCTGGGGATTGTATGTAGGTAGATGTGGGTCAAATTGTGTTCCCTCAAAATTCATATGCTAAGTCCTAAGCCCCAGTACCTCAGAATGTGACTATATTTGGAAATAGAGTGATTGCAGATATAATCAAGATGAGGTTATGTGGGAATGGAGGGCCTATAATCCAAAATGACTGATGTTCTTATAAAAAATGGAAAATTTGGAAACAGATATGTACACTGGGAGAAGACCATGTGAAGACTGGAGTTATACTGCCACAAGCCAATGAACTACCAGAAGCTAGGAGAGTCTCCTAGAATAGATATTCTCCTAGAGTTTTTGGAGGGAGAGTGGCCTTGTTGACACCTTGATTTTAGACTTCTGTCCTCCAGAACTGTGAGACAATATATTTCTGTTGTTTTAGTCACTCAGTTTGTGGTAATTTGTTATAGCAGCCCTAGCAAACTAATGTGATAGAGGAGGCAGCTGGCTTAGGCCTCACCTAGAGCTCAGTGGGAATTCTCTTCTACCCCTGAGTCCACATTAAGCTGGAAAGTATCTCCCCAACCAATTTGTGGGCAATCAAAGGCAACTCCTCATGCAAGATGGGGTCCTACCACACTTAGTGTCTGACACTTAGCATTGACTGTCTTGGTAAGCTAAGTGACTTTTCATGTGAGTGTCTTAGTACTCAACTAGATTTATTATCTACAGTTATATATACATCATGTGGGATTCTTCTAGTCTAACTTATCATTACCACCTCAATGTTGAGCACATTGCACGTGATCCACAAACATTTGTTGCTTGATTGATTCACACTGTCAATAAACAATTACCAACCTCCTATGTGTCAGGCTTAGTGTGAGACTCAGAGAAGCAAAAACAAAAGAAACAAGTCCCTCTTCTTAAGGAGGTATTGGCTAGTAGAGGCACTCATCTCAGTTTCTCTTTTCTTTGGTAGTGACATGGAACATTTTAGAGACAAGTTGAAAAAAGTTGGTCATGGGCTTTCACATCCCAGGGCACTTCAACATATTCACAAATGACAAGTCCAGTGAGCTGAGCAATCATGGAGCTCCAGCATTTCAGAGGTTAGTCCTAAGCCAGACTGGGTGCTCTGTCTTTTCTCATCTGTAGATGTGAAGAATAGCCCTTCTTTCTCCCTAGGAGTCTGTGAGGGATGAGGAATTGAGGACAGATGTCTCTCTCAGGGACCTGCAGATCTCCCCTGGCATGAGCTGGCTGTGTGATTTATCACCATCATGAGGCCATTCAAGTTATGGCTCATGTCCTTACCCTGTCTCCTTGAATTTCTCTTTCTGTGCCAAACCCAGGTGCTTCAATTGTTAGGACAGTAGCTGATATTTATTGAGGGCTCACTGGGTACCAGACACAGGGACAAGTATTTTATATGTGTAATACCACTTAATAATATGTGCCAAAAGCCCTATAATTATGAATATTTTACAACTGAGAAAACAGAGACTTCACAGTGTTAAAATAACTGGTCTAAGATCCCATAACTGATAAATAATCAAGCTGGGACTGCCACCCAAGCTGACTGCAAAGCACATGCTATTAGTCTTTACTATTGTGCTAGGAATGCCCCATCCCTCCCTGTTAGGCAGGGAACCTTGTGGCTGAGAATTTGCCAGTGCTTATACTGAAAGTCTTTATGTAGAAGTCGGAGGAATTAGGCTTAAAGGAGATTCAGGAACATGGAAGCAGAGTTCAAGCCTTTTTACATCCATGCTTTTTATTGTCTTTGGTGGGAAAGGAAGAGCTTGGGTGGACATGGGGATTCAATGGGATCCAGTGACAACCATGGGATGCAAAATTAGTACACATGCCTCTATGACTCACCAGAGGTCATAATAAAAATGTAATAGCATTGACTGGAGACCCTCTAGTCCAAACCTTATTTCACATGTGAGGACACTGAGCCATATAGGTGAAGATACTTGTCTAATGAGGCACAGCTTATTATTGGCAGGGCTAAAGTAGAACCCAAGTTCTAGAGCCCACTATACTGGCAAACCTGAGAATAGATTCTGGAAACAAAGCAGTATAATATTTGGCAGTCCCCAGGGCCATCATTCAGGAAGGTAGTAAGGTGGTGGTGGAGGGTTGCAGAATGGTTAGTTCCCTGGAACAAAGGACCTCTCCACATCACCTTGGATAAATAACTTCAGTCCTACAAAGAAGAAGATTGTATTTCCACATTTTACCTTCTGGGAGAATCCAACTTCATCCTCTCTTGTATAAATAGAACAAAAACACTATGTGATGGGAACAAGATGTGAAAGCACAACTAGCACACTCAGCAACCAAGGGTAGTGAATATGGAGGCCCATTGAGATGTCTGGAAATAGAAGATACACAAATCTTGACTTCCTAGGAAACAGGCTTAAGAGGGACACATGCACAGGCACTATCACAATTGAGCATCCTCCAGGGGAGTTCCAAAGCTCCTAGAGCAGGGGTCCTCAAACTTTTTAAACAGGGGGCCAGTTCACTATCCCTCAGACCGTTGGAGGGCTGGGATATAGTTTAAAAAAACTATGAACAAATTCCTATGCACACTGCACATATCTTATTTTGAAGTAAAAAAACAAACAGACAAAAACACCCGCATGTGGCCCGTGGGCCATAGTTTGAGGACACCTGTCCTAGAGAAACTGCAGTTTCTAATCCTATTCCTGCAGGTCAGGATCAGAAAGTCTGAATTAGAAGGTCAAAGCAGAGGCTATCTCAGAATACCCTGAATTGCCTGGCATCTCTCTGAAGGTTTTGGGCTCTTTACCAGTGGGAGGAGATGACTCTAGTGGGCAGGATCTGCAAAAAGGAGGCACACTCCCCCAGCCTCAGGATTTTCAGCTATTAAGAGTGATTTTGGAGGCTCCTGG